TCTGTAGGAAATGTTCTTCTATTATTACTTGTGAGCGATAATGGAAGACAATATTCTACAGAAATTACTGCAGTAGAAGTTTTTGGCAACTTATCTTTATTGACTCTTCGTTGCTTTTGTCACGGATGTTGTTTTTGGAATTCCGCTTCCTCCCGTGATCTCTCATTTTTGGCTTCTGCTGCGCTCTCCAGGGGAACTGATACCTGGAGTCTGGAGATCAATCATAGTAGCAGATCTCCAGGTCCCACCTGGAATGTGGTGACCCGATAGGAAGCAGGATATCTCCAAAGCTTTTCTTGAAAGCCAGTTTGGTGTAGTGGTTAAGTGTGCGGACTCTAATCTGGGAGAACCGGGTTTGATTCCCCGCTCCTCCACTGGCACCTGGCTGGATGACCTTGGGCAAGCCGTAGTTCTGATAAGAGCTGTCCTTGAAAAAGAGCCGTTTCTGTCAGAGCTCTCTCAGCCCCACCGACCTCACAGGGTGTCTGTTGTGTGGAGGGGAAGGGAAAGGACTTTGTAAGCCGTTCTGAGACACCTTTGGGTAGTGAAGGGCCATGGGGTATAAATCCAATCTCTCCAGTTTGGTGTCGTGGTTAAGTGCGCGGGCTCTAATCTGGGAGAACCGGGTTTGATTCCCCACGCCTCCACTTGCACCTGGCTGGGTGACCTTGGGCAAGCCGTAGTTCTAATAAGAGCTGTCCTTGAAAAAGAGCAGTTTGTGTCAGAGCTCTCCCGGCCCCACCTGCCTCACAGGGTGTCTGTTGTGGGGAGGGGAAGGGAAAGGAGTTTGTAAGCCGCTCTGAGACACCTTTGGGTAGTGAAGGGCGGGGTATAGATCCAATCGCTTCTTCTTCTTCTTCTTCTTGATCTCCCCCCCTCAAAAGAAATCCCAGTCATCACTGGGCGCTAACATTGTATTGTGGCTGGTACATTTTAGTTGTGTTCTTGGTACACAACATACATGTTAGTTCTGTTTTTGGAAGGAGGTCATGAAGAGGGGGGGAAGCACAGACAAAAAGAGAATAACAGAGGACCAAGGTTGGGCTTCTGTCTTTGTGGTACGCTCCCCATTGCTTCTTCAAGTAGACTGAGCAGATGATGCACTTTCCAGAGGAGGATTTGGCCGCACACAGAGCAGGAGTGAAACTTAAACAAGATTTTGGAGTCCTTCTCCACGAAGTTCAGAATACGGAGTGTTTGAATCTCACTTTGACGTGTGTGTTGGAAATATGTGTGTTGCAAGGCCTAAGGTCAGTCATTATAGGGTTAATGTGCTTACCTTGTGTACTATTGTTTAGACTGACCTGGAACAGAACCTCACAGAAAGCCAATGGAAAGAAATCTGTTTTTGGAAGAAGGTCATGAAGAGGGGGGGAAGCACAATAAAAAAGAGAATAACAGAGGACCGAGGTTGGGCTTGTGTCTTTGTGGTACGCTCCCCATTGCTTCTTCAAGTAGACTGAGCAGATGATGCCCTTTCCAGAGGAGGATTTGGCCGCACACAGAGCTGTGTACCCTTCCCTTTAAGAAATAAAAAAAATTACATAGAAAGAAAATGCCTCCTCTCCAGTGAACAAAGATCCATTGCAAACTCTGAATATTTAACTATTTTTACCAATTTTTCAACTATGTGATCCCCTTTAACATGAACACAGCAGGAACACATGAAACGGCCTTAAACTGAATCAGACCGTCGGTCCATCAAAGTCAATATCGTCTACTCAGACTGGCAGCAGCTCCCCAGGGTCTCAGGCAGAGGTCTTTCACATCCTCTCCTACCTGATCCTTTCTAACTGGAGATGCCGGGGATTGAACCTGGGACCTTCTGCAACCCAGGCAGATGCTCTACCACTGAGCCACAGCCCTCCCTAACAGACCCTTGGTTCATCAAGATCAGTATCGTCTACTGAGACCACCAGCAGCTCTCCAGGGTCTCAGGCGGAGGTCTTTCCCATCACCTACTGCCTGATCTTTTTAACTGGAGATGCCGGGGATCAAACCTGGGACCTTCTGCATCCCCAGCAGATGCTCTACAACCGATCCACAGCCCCTCCCCTTCCTGTATTATGGGGGTGGCAGGGAATGGTGAATCTGACGGGGCCCATTCCTCCACAAAAAGATCAAGAAGTTCTCTGGCATCTGTACAGCCAGAGGAAGCATCACTTACATGCGCTGGCAGCCCTTCCCAAAATGTCTGTGCAGCACCAATTCCTCACCAAGCAAAGTGGTGGATTTTAATCCAGATGCCGTCCACGGGCAACCGACCTTGACAACCGAGCATTTTTCTAATCTTGTTCCTTGAATCTATGATTACTTCTCTCTTTTCCTTTTTCCTAAATCCATGCAACGTTGGGCTGTTTCCCCATTCTCATTTCCCTTGCTTGGGGTGGGGGGAGTCTGTTCTGCATGAGTTTGCTCCCTCTAGTGGCCGATTCAATATTACATTGGCTTATGTACCTTGCATTTTAAATCTGCGGGAAGATAACGCCAGACATAAAGAGAAACACATGCAGAAAAGAAAAATGAGCGAAGCAACAGGAACGGCTATCTTTATAGCTGTTTTATGCTCTGCTTCTGGCCTGGAGTCTGTCTTGTGGATATTTGTATGCAGGTTTTTCTTTCCCTGCCTTGTTTTTAATGGCTCGTTTTGCTTTTATATTGATAATTTATGATGATTTAATTTGTAAGCCACCTAGGGTCGCCAGCCCCAGTCTGGGAAATTCCTGGAGATTTGAGGGGGGTGGGTTCTGGTGAAGGTGGGATTTGGGGAGGGACCTCATCAGGGTATAATGCCACAGAGGCCCCCTTCCAAGGCAGCTATTTTCTCCAAGGGAACGGATCAGTTGTAATTCCAGGGGATCCATAGGCACCACCTGGAGGCTGGTAACCTGGAGCAGGCCCTGTTGGGTTAGGGGGTGGAGCCAGTAGCTTTCGGGAAGCCCAGAGAGGAGGTCCAGTGGGGTTTGGGGTGGTGGTGAATCCAGTACAAAAGCAGTCTGTTCACCTCAGAGGCACAGCTCAGAAAAAAAGCACATAACCCTCAAAGACTGGGGCCAGCTTTGTGCTTGAGCAAGAGGAGGTGATATGCCATAGACTACTGGGTACCTTAAAAGGGCACCAAACTGCCACCAGTTTATTTATTGTAACGTATCGAACATGATCTTCAGCAGAACAGCAGATCAGGGGAACTCGGCTACCCTCTGAGAATACCTAAAGCGAGGTAACGGATAAGGGGGAGCCATTTTGGATTCTCCCCTCCCCCCTTGGCCAGCCCAATCTCCCTGGCCTCCCGTCCATGCCGATGGCATTTGTAAATATTCCTCCCCCACCCCTAGCCTCCCAACCCGTAGAAAGAGAGAGAAAACCTTCCTTACCGTTTTCTCAGCCGCTGGTCTCATCTCAGCTCTGGACTCTTTCTCTCTGTTGTCCTGTTCACGTAGTACCGTTTATTATTTAATAAGCCACAATGTTGAGTTTCCCTGCCCTGTTAGATGCTGGCCCAACCGTCGCTTGACCAATCGGGACTGGGCTCCCAACTGACCAGGTTCTGAGCCGGCATCACAAGTGGGTTCTGGATTTGTTGTCTGGGGAAGAATCCGTCCCTACTGGTGTAGCCGTGGTAACCCACAGAGCTGGAAGAAGATGGATCTCAACCCCCTAAGGCTCGAAGGGAATCGAACTGGTGTCTGAGCCACCCCAAGCGAACCTCCAGTTGGGGGCTGTCTTCTCCTGGAATGACAATGACTCTCCAGACCGGTGTTCCCTCTCAGCTGAGTTAGTGTGAGCTAGCTCACAATTTTTTAGCCTCCAGCTCACACAGTTTTGTCTTAGCTCAGGAAGGAGGGCTCCAGAGGAAACTGATTATGCAATAGCTCACAACTTTAATGCCAGTAGCTCACAAAGTAGAATTTTTGCTCACAGGACTCCACAGCTTAGAGGGAACATTGCTCCAGACTACAGAGAGCAGGTCCCCAAGACAAAATGGCAGCTTCAGACGGGGGACTCCGTGGCACCACGTGCCTGCTGAGTTCCCCTCCCCTCCCCAAGGTCTGCCCTGCAAATCTCCAGGAATTCCCCAACTGGAGTTGGCAACGTTTGAGCAGGACTCTGAAGGAGCAGCGTAAAAATACCCTGAATAAGAAATAAAGTAAATGAATGCGCATAAACACATGGACGTGCCTTCTGCAGACCACTGGTCTTCCAAGGTCTACCCAGGCTAGCAGCATCTCTGCAAGGTCTCAGGCTGAGGTCTTCCCCATCACCTACTGCTTGGCCTTTTTAGATGGAGATGCCCGTGGTTGCACCTGGGACCTTCTGCATGCCAAGAAGAGGCTCTGCCACTGAGCCACGGCCCCTCACACAACCAGTACCAAACTCACTTTCATGTGGAGCTGTCCATCACACTGAGCTGAGCTTTGGGCAAGCTCCCATCCGTCTGCCCTGAAGTTCTAGGACATCTCAGTCGCATATTGTTTTTGCTGCTCTGTTGCTGCAAAAAGATGAATCATGGAATCATAGAAGGGTCCGCAGAGGTCATCTAGTCCAACCCCCTGCGCCATGCAGGATCAGCCCAGAGCATCCCTGACAAGGGTTTGTCCAGCTGCTGCTTGAAGGCTAACAACAGAAGACCCAAAGGAAACTGTACAAACTGTGCTTATAATTCATTACAATAAGATAAGTATAAAGATGTAGTGACCAACAATATTCACTATACCTTTATACTTACCTTATTGTGATGAATTATAAGCACAGTTTGTACAGTTTCCTTTGGGTCTTCTTTTGTTAGTCTTTGTGGCTGTGACCCTCTCGGTCTGCTGCTTGAAGACTGCCAGGGAGGGGGAGCTCACCACCTCCCCAGGCAGCCGATTCCACTGTGGCACAACTCTGACTGTAAAAAAAGTTTCCCCTTAGATTCAGCCAGTACCTTCCCACCCATAATTTAAACCCACTGTTGCGAGTCCTCTCCTCTGCTGCCAACAGGAACAGCTCCCTGCCAAGGCGCCCTCTAAGTTGTGGAGTCTTGTGAGCAAAAATTCTACCTTGTGAGCTACTGGCATTAAAGTGGTGAGCGAGCGATTTGGCTGCTGCATCGATTCGTTTGCTCTGGAGCCGTCCTTCCTGAGCGAAGGCAAAAACGTGTGAGTCGGAGGCTAGAAAACGGTGAGCTAGCTCACACTAACTCAGCTTAGCGGGAACACTGCTCCCTGCTCTCCTCTAAGGGGCACAGCCCTTCAGATACTTCAAGAGAGCCATCATATTCCCCCCCCTTCAACCTCCTCTTCTCCAGACTGACCATTCCCAAGAAGTCCCTCAGCCTTTCCTCACAGGGCTTGGTCTCCAGGCCCCCGATCATCCTCATCAGTCTCCTCTGCACCCACTCCACTCTGTCCACATCCTTTTGGAAGTGAGGCCTTAAGAACGGCACACAAGACTCCAGGTGCCGCCTGACCAGTGGAGTGTACGGCGGGACGATGACGTCTTGTGATCTGGATGTCATGCCTCTGTTGATTCAGCCCAAGGTACTCATCATGTTAAAACATTGTCACTCCTTGGGATCCAGCCTCCCCTCGTCTTTTCTCAGCTGCCCAGGCAGAGAGTGGCGGCCTGTACGCAACAAGCAAGCCAGGATCCGGTATCTCTGATCTTAACGTCGAAGATACAAAAGGGATAACTGTTCTCCAGCAGCTCTAGGCTGAGGCCGAGACGGAGTTGGCAGCCTCCGCTTTTGAACGCACTGCTTCAAAGAGAGACCGAAAAGGGGGGAGGGGGGAGAAAAAGAAAGCTGGTGGCAGTTTGGGGGAATGTGCAGCCACGGCAAGCTCTGGGTAGAGTCCGACAGGTCTAAGAGGACTGCCTGCGATCCCGCTGAGCTCAGAAGGAGAAATTAAACCTGCTGCCGCCTGAAGAACGAAAGCTCAGAGCTCCCATCTTTGTTGTTGTTCTTTTTTTGCAACAACAAAAATTGCAACCTCCAAAAACTTGGGGGACGTTTCGGCTGTGTTTGGCTGTGAAGCTGCGCAGCCTTATGTTGGGCTTTCTTGCATGCAACTCTCTCGTGGCCAAAGTGTGTTGGGCACCCAAAACTTGTGTTCCGCTTTTTCTAGGTTCAGTGCTCTCCTCTTGCCTCAGAGATGCTCATCACTCCAGACTTCACCACTGTCCCCTAAGCTGAGTGAGTGTGAGCCAGCTCACAGTTTTTAGCCTCCGGCTCACAGAGTTTTGTCTTCGCTCGGAACAGAGGGTTCCAGAGCAAACTAATTTTTGGTGTAGTGCCAGTTCGGTGTTGTGGTTAAGTGGGACTCTAATCTGGGAGAACTGGGTTTGATTCTCCCCTTCCCCACCTGCAGCTGCTGGATGACCTTGGGCAAGCCATAGTTCTGTCGGAGCTGTCCTTGAAAAAGAGCAGTTTCTCTCAGAGCTCTCTTAGCCCCACCTACCTTGCAGGGTGTCTGTTGTGGGGAGGGGAAGGGAAAGGAGTTTGTAAGCCGCTCTGAGACTCCTTTGGGTAGTGAAGGGTGGGGTATAAATCCAAGCTCTTCTCTTCTTCTTTTAATTTATGCAGTGGCCAAATTGCTCGCTCACAACTGTCATGCCAGTAACTCACAAAGTAGAATTTTTGCTCACAAGATTCCACAGCTTAGAGGGAGTATTGGACTCCACGTAGGTATTCTCAACAAGAATGTATGTATTCTCAACATACATCCACTTTATTTTAGTATATTTCTTTTTCAGAATAGTATCTCTATCATCTATCTTCTCTGTCTGTCTATCTACTATCAATCATCTATCTGTCATTTCTATCATCTTATCTATCTATCTATCTATCTATCTATCTATCTATCTATCTATCTACTATCTTCTCTATC